GTATGCGTAACATGTTATATTCACTTACGACACACACATCTATCTAAGATAATGTATATTTAAGTGCATACATTGTTATAATATAAGTCTATTGTATTTTGTACGGAGACGAGTTGTCGGTTTTATTTTCGTTCTCAAATTATAATATGTAGGCAGTTCTCATTGTTTTATTATATTTTTATAAGTTATAAYATACCTATGAGATCAATCCGGATTTCGCACGATCGGTATCTCGCTATTCATTAGATGGAAACACGACGCGCACATCTTAACGATGCGACTTCATAATAGCCATTTATACGTACATGCAGTGTTTACTGTTATAGGTACCTATGTATTATACGTATCCGGAAACCGTCGCTAATTGTCTGGGTACATCTTATGTCGAAGAAATAATGAATAATAAATAACCGCAACGCGCAGTGGTCGTCGACGTTCGTCGTAATTATTTCTTCGGATGCAAATTTAATATTTCGCTTCTGCTGCTGTCCGTTGGGATTCATACATGATTGTCGTACCTCTTAACGGTCGAACTAGATATATAATATTATTATACGGGTAATAGGTACTCAGAGGAAATAGGTAACTAATAGGTACTCTAGGCCACAGGGGCGTATTTAGAAATGTCTTAAGGGGGGGGCACAAGCAAAAAGTTCAAATTTGCGTACATGGGACGTAGAGTTGTAAAATTTCTCATATAATAAAAATAAGTATAAAATACAGTGAATGGGGGAGGCACGGGCCCCATGTGCCCCTCCCTTAAATACGCCCCTGCTCTAGGCTATTAGAATTATGCTAAATATTATATTATTAACCACTGATACAATACAAATAAATTATTGTAAAAGGTAAATATGACAAGGGGAAGAAATATCATTACATCAACAATTTTTTGTTTGTTATGGATGAATAGACACAGGACACATATGAATCTCGTATTTAAAAATAAATTAATATGATACTGAAATGCTTTTAATTTTTATACAAAAATTGTCTTTTTCCTTAACAAAATTGTTGTATAAAAATATTTTTTTATGTAAGTACCTACTAGGTTTTTTTTAAGGTAGATACTGGATTTTTCATAGCCAAGGAATACAAAATAACGCTTTAATAGCGTATAACAGTATAACAGTATTAAATATATACATATAGTTATARAATTATAATTTAATTCAGCAAACAACTCAAAAAAGCATTTATTGGGTTATTCTATAAATTTGATTTGCCATCAATTCTTATTGAAATAAACAAATCCGAGAAATATTATATTAATCCGGTATGCTTAAAAACAACTTTATAATGAAAGAACAATAAAGTAAAACGTCTTTTAAGTTTAAATTTGAATACAAATAAATGGGCATAGCCGTTTTCGATAAAAAAGAACCCTTCCCTTTTCGACCAAATTTAAAAAGACTGATTCCCTTTACGACCAAAAACAAAATTTTTCGTAAAATTATGGCAATTATATAATTATGTAATTTTTACAAATTATTAAAAGTATAAGTTGGTACTGAATAGTACCAAGAAATTTGAATTCGATTYGAAAAATCTTCAAAATTTTAATAAATGAAATAATAGGGATAATTTTTAGTGTGTGTGTAAAATTAATATCGCTTTGTAAATAATTTTGTCGCGAATTGTATTTTTACGAGTATTGTTATTTTACAACATTTTATGCAACTTATAAAAAACTATATTATGTAGCAGCAATTATTTTATTTTTTTTACATACATTATATAAATTTTTGTTTTGGCTGAAAAGGGAATCAGTCTTTTTTAAATYTG